AAAAATATTTTTAAGATCCAAATAAGTATAAGAGATTTATTTATAAAAAGTAAGTAGGCATATAGCTTATAATCCTCTATTATATATAATTGATTATCAAACAGTTATATAATATATTACAGTTAATATTAATAAATTTTACTAGTAAATACTTTTGATAATAAATATAATAAAATTTGCATTCAATTCTTTGACGCCATCTATTTATTTAAAATATCATTAATTTTAAACATCATATTATTCATCCCACAATGGATGTAGTAAATTAGATATCTTTTCTTCTCTTTTTTACGTGTTTGTTTTTAAGAAAGCTATTTTTCTAATTCTTTGAAAAACAGTTTTGAGTTAAATACGTGCATATTTTTGATAATTACGAGCTACTATTATTTTAAGTTATAATATACCAACTTGAGGTGGTGCGACAATAATATATAAAATCTTAATTGCTTTCATCATATCACTCTGGTTCTTATTTTATAGTTATAAAATATTTCATATCCAGGGTTGCCATGTCTCCCCCCATCAGCGGGAGACTCCCGCAATTTTTTAGTTTACACGCAGACATCTCTCTTCCGCAAAACTACCGCAATTGGAAATCTCTCGCAAAAATCTACCACAATTTTTTAATTTTTTTTAAAATAATATTTTAATGTTTTTAATATATAAATAATAATTTGAGAGACAGTAATTGATTATTTTTATATTTTTAAAATATATTTTAAATATTTATTGGAAAAACATGTCTAGTTTGTAAATTTCTTATTATCCTATTATTTTTATCCAATAATAAATCAACATCATTTCATTCATATAAGTCAATACAGGGGAGTATATCGTATATCAACATCGATATCAATGCGAAGATATTTTCTAAAATAATAAATAATACAGATTAGTGATCTGCATCGGGCCTAATTTTTCAAGCCCGGCCCGGCCAGAAATTTTTTTTAAAAAAGTTTTCCCGGCCCGAACCCGAATTTTTTTTATTCATCCCAAAGTAAAAGTTATTTGTCCGCCCGATAGAAATTAATTTTTTTTAGCTTTTAGTTTATTTTTTATGTTACATTTTGTATTTTCTTAGTAGACACTAGACAGACAATTTATTTAGTATTTAATTATTTATTTAAAATACTATCAAAAATACCTATAAACCAAACAAATAATAATTATAATGTTAAATTACACAACTATATATTAGATTCATATTTATAATTATCATTTAAAAATATCAAAGCATCAACATTTTCAGGTTTCAGCTTCTTTCTTCTAATAGCCTTCCAGTCTTTGAAAAAGTTCTCTCTGACGTTGTGGACGTTAAATAGCTAGAATTTTTCTAGCCAATTTCGTCATCTTTGGTAATCTAATTTCATTTTTGCTCCACCATTTTAATAAATCTTTTTCTGGATCTATATTTTCTATATTCTCTTTTATATTCAAAATCTTATAAATTTCAAGCTCATCTGTTTATTTTTTTTTCAAATTCTTCCTCATTGTCCTCCCATCTTTCATATTCATTGTCTGATATATAAAAATAAGATAAATAGAACAATTTTAAATGTACCTTTAGATCTTTTAGGAGATTCCATAAATTTGTCTTTATTATATTCTTTATCAAACGTATTATTGTATTTGCCTTAATTATAGCCTTTATCAAAGGTATTCGTTTGAAACGGATATTTATAATAGCATAATTTTTTTGTAATTATTATTTATCTTATTGACAATCAACATATTTTAATCTGCCATTTTTTTGTCATGCTTGTCAATTGTTCTAATTTTACCCGCTTCAGTTATAGTTTTCACTGTTCCTTGAAGTGCAAAGTAAAATCTAAATGCAAAATGTTATAGTCTGTTAACACATTGACGTGATCTCCTCAAAAGATAAGGCTTTAATAGAATCTTCGTCGCCATTAAAGATCTATAGAAAAGCATGTTAGACTTAGGTAATAATCAATATAGATTTTATTATATATTCATTCCGAGTTTTATTAAAAAGTCAAATAAAATATATAATTTTTACAATAACAAAATTAATAAACAATTTTAAAATAATGTTGATTTAACGGATAAAAAAAACTAGTGGAATTATTTACTAATAAATTTGATAAATTATCTTCTTTTTTTAATTAGGAAGCTAGTTTTTGTTTAAAAAATGTAAGTCCAACTGAATATCAATATAAAGATATCTTTTTAAATTTTTTTGGTAATAAGAATATTGAATTAGTTTATCATAAATTTAAGAAAAAATTTATTTTTTTAAAAAATGGCAAGTCAAAATTATTTTTTAAAAGTGTAAAATATCCAAAGTACTATACAAGAAGTGAGAAACACAATAAAACTCATAGTAAAAAAAAATTTCTCCCCACCTCCTACTAAATTCCTAGCTACGCCTATGATCCTTAAAATTTTATCCTCCCAACCTGAACCGAATCCCTAAAGGTGTCAGAAAAGCTATTTTAACCTTTTGATAATTTAACTCTTTTAAATATGATTAATAATCAGTTTTAATTGACTGATAGGTATCAATATTAATTTTATTGTTGTTTGACGGTGCCACTACCTATGTTAGCATATATATGTAATATCAGTCCTAAAATTTATTCTTCCTTATTATAGATATAATTTGACAGAAGAGAATCGAAAATATTTTTGTCAGGTTCAATATTATTTTTTTAGAGAATAACGATAAAATTTAAAAAAATCTTATTTCTTCACATTATTCTAATACGCTTGTTTGCAAAATGGTTTGAACCAGGATTCAAAGGTTCGAACCAATTCTTGTGAATTTTTATTTAAAAAGAAAGCAATATATGACATAATAATACTATAATATAAAACTATGTATAAAGAATTAAAAATAAAGTACACAATAATATCAAAAATTATAATGGTATAAGAAAGGAGATAGCTAAGTGAATGGTACAAGCCAAGAATTAAACATTAGATAATTGGACAGAATTATTTTGACAGCCATATTTTATTTTGGTTTACAAAATGGGTGGTGTTTATTTTCAAAGATTGAAACGGTTTAAAGACTCAGGCTTGCCCAAACGAGTAGGAGGATATAGCTATGATGGGGACCAAGTGATTATCACCCACTTGGGAATATATTTGGCATTGTAATGATTCAGCCCTGAGAAGAGGGTCATGTATATTATTAGAAGGGGCAATATTCAAGTATAATCCCAGACCAAGGGTTTACCTAAATCAAAGGGATAATTTTGCAGTTAGGGCATTTTTTATCTATGCAATATGGGTTCAAGAATTCACGAGATATTTGCATTATTGCTGTAGCAATTAGTGTAATTATTTTGTTATGTCGATTAATTTTTGATATGAATTTACAATAGAGTGCATGGCGTTCAAAACAGTCTGCTATCTATTGATTTAAAAATGGTATTCCTGGAAGCAAACTATTTGCATAACGAAATGAAATGTCATCTATTAGTTGATTAAGATACTGTGGTAAAAATCAAGCCATTCATGGCCGAGTGGTTGAAATTAAGCATTTTGAGGAGGGATTTGTATTGGTGATCCTCGCTCAAGTTGAGGAAAGCGAAGGAACCAGATACCAATCCTAGATCCCACCTTCTTGCTTTGATGAATCTGGTTGAGGTGTAAGGCTTAGTTCATCAAACTATCAATTACCAATGAAATTATTTGGGAAATGATGTGTTTTACTGATTTTGTGGAAGATATGAAAGAAACAAGACCAATAGTTATAGTTAGCGCAGATCTCAGTCCTACGCTTCCTGATTTGCAAGGAAGAGTTACTTGGAGTCAGGAGTTATAATCATATTTAATATTTAGAAACTCTTTTTTTTAAATTCCTTTAAAATGACTAATAATCCATTTTGTTTGACTGATAGTTATTAGTAAATAATTTTCGATATATATATATTATTTGACAATGCCGCTACCGAAGTTAACGCACTAAAATTTATTCTTCCTAAAGATATAATTTGACAGAAGAGAATCTAAAATTGTGCACATTTCAATAAACATTTTAAAGAATTGGGAAAATTTTTTTAAGAAAATGTTATTTTCTTTACACAATTCTAATATGCTTGTTTGATAAATGGTATGAACAGGATTGTAAAAGTTCAAACCCAATCGATATTATTATATTTGGCCATTCGAACTTTAATCATTAATTTTACCTGAACCGAACCAGTAATCGTTACGACTTGGATCGCTGGTCTTATTGCATTTTATATAATTAGTGGTAACACTAAATTTATTTTTTCTTAATTTAATTAATATTTTATTGTTCGGTATATTATTATTTTCTATCTGTAACTATTTTATTAATTAAAATAATCTAAATAATATTTCATTTCATTTCTTTTATTAAATTTTCATTTTTTATTATATTATGTTTTTTAATTAACCTAAATAAACTTTCTTTACTGTTTATAACCTTTTATGGTAGTCACCTCTTTAAGCATCTTACTTCACTCCTTTCTCTTTAAATACTTCCCTTTTATGAATCATATTAACTTTAATATTCTTTTCTATTTGATGTTCATTTTGTGACGCACGATTTTTCTTTATTTTTTTATGAATCACTATTTACTACCCATTTTTGCCTATTTTCTAAGACTATTTACTATTGATTCTGATTAATATCTTATTCACGTGATTAAACAATTTACCTTTTTCTTTCTCTTTGACCAAATCATTTTATTATATTCGCAATAAAATCGATGCTGTTTGAAACAACCCCTTCACTCTATCTAATTTCTTAAATTATGATAATTATTTTTATCTTACAATTCTTCCTTGAAAACGTTAAATTATATTATATTTTTTTAAAATTTCACTTAATTGTTTTAAAAGGAATAAATGTAAAAAAACATGTTACTCTTTGTTCAGACAATTCAGATCATATAGAATATAATAACAGCTGATTCTTAAAAAAAATTATATTTAAGGCAATCAATAAAATTTAATTTACTTAAAATTCTATATATCTATCGCAAATAACGTTTCCTAAATATTTAATTTGTTAGTTTTATGGTAGATTCTAATACTCACTCTTAAAGGGAAAAATCTATATATGTTATCTACGATTCTGGAAAAATGTTTGGAATCTGTGTTTCCAGTTAAAATCGCTAAGTTCAATCGATAAGATATCCCAATTTGAACATACCATTGGTGTCAGCCCCATCACGATGTGAAAGATATTTAGAGTATATAAAGTGTAAGTTCAATGTCCTTTTAGTATAATAATGTATTATATTTTAAGTTTGTGGCAAAGATGGTTTGTAGATAAAAAATATTCAAAATATTTCTCGAATGTAAAGACATGCAACAAGTTTTAAAGATAAATATATTTTTAAAAATAAGAATATATATATCGATTAGTGAACTGCATCGGGCATAATTTTTCAAGCCCCATCCGGCCTGAAACCTTTTTTAAAAATGTTTAGCCGACCCGACCCGAACCCGAAATTTTTTTAAAAAAGTTTTGCCGGCCAAGCCCGAATCCTAATTTTTTTTTAATTTTTTTTTTTAAAAAAAAAAATAATTTTTATAATTACTCAAAATAAAAGACCCGGGCCGGGCTTAACTTTTTAGATCTCTAATGGCGATAGTAATTTACTCGTGGTTGTTAATAATCTCAAATGTTTTATGCATCTTAGTCTAGAATGATTATATGGTATTCATATTCTGAAAGTGTTAGAACAAAATTACAATGGATAATATGCCAGTTAAGTATAGGATATTTTTTCCCTCTTCTTTTATTTGTATATCACTTTATATTTACAATGACACCGACTTCTTTGAATTAAAAAGAACTCGTCAACTGAGTTTAATATTTTTATACATTGATCATTAATATAATGGTGATTGAGTTCCAACTATATTTTATAGGTTCATCCATATAATGTCAAATTTTAAATTATAATTATAGTAATCAGAAAATAGGCACAGAGTATTATAATTTTGTTGAGCAATACGGTGCGATTCAAAGAGATTTTTGTGACAATGAAAATGTCTATCGCATTCCATGTATAAAATTTCATAACATATATATGATTACATATCCGTAAGTTTAATTTTTTTTAAAACTTTTTATAGAGAACTCGATAGAAAAGATGGACACAAAATAACTTAATATAGAATTTCTTATTATAGTGAGTTTTTACAGAATTATAAAAAATAAGGTTTTATTATATATTTTTTATTATTAAAATAAACTAAATCCATTAATAAATTTAAATTTATTTTGTATATGGTTATGGAAAATTAAAAATTTACTAAATACATTCTATTTAATGAATATATTATAGACTAAATATTAATTATTTTATGAGGTTGTCTATTATAATATAGTGATAATGTCACGCTAGTTGCGCTTGCTCTCTATTATTCTGTTAACATAGAGTTATAGATAGGCTTGTAACCGAATGAATTATTTTTTTCAATACAAATAAACAAATAATATAAAAATGAATATAAATGGAAATAAATGAAATGATGGAGGTAGTATACAGGTCTACAGTAAATAATAATATTAGTTTTTAGGTCAATTTCGGGGGAAAGGTAACCAATTTACTAGATTCTGTAATGGGGTATATTTTTTTCTAACTAAATAAAACAAGGCTTCCGAAATTATAAGTGATCTATTTAGATTAAATCATTCAGTGTTATTATGGTATAAAGGAATGCGCTAGTAACTCGCTATCACTTTGTATGTGTCTCCAAATCGCTTGGGTCATATGAAAAAAACACCCTCATACAGTTATTGATGAAAATGAATGAGTAGAGAGGCATTTATTTCCGCCTGCTCAAAATCGATCATTATCGATATAGGATTTAGATTATTTTGTAATCTTTTTATCTCATCCAAAACCCTTATATATGTAATCTGGGTTTTGTTCGGTAATAGGGCAAAAATTGTGGGTACAAACGTTTTATGATATAGGGTATGGAGGTCCAAAATTGGTAAAAAATTAAGGGGGGGGGGTATCTTGAACGTGCCATCTGCATACCGGTGATTGCTTTCCGCAATCAATGTAAGGTTTTAGACGGTGGCAAATATCAAAATTCTTGCCAGTTCCGGTTGCAAATGCTTGCTGTCATATTGAAGGAATGGCAACTCCGATCATGTTATTCTATAGCTATCCGGTAAATCTAGATCATAACTGTTCATCAGGCTAGGTAATGGAAAACCTATAAGTTATCTATCCCGCTGAATGGTCTGTTTTATTGACGAAATGAGTGGAAAGGTAGCATGAATGGATGGGGATGCTTATAATTTTTTGAGATGTATTAGTCACCTCAATGGCACGCTTTTTGATGTTATTTAAGCATTCGGTTTTTAAGACCTTAGTACTATCTAACACTGACATTTGATATATTGCACCACCCATTGCAGCGGGCAGGCCTACCATCCAATAATTTATAAGACTACACATATCCATATTGTTTTTTTATTATCGTTCTCTCTTTGAATATGTATTGAACATGAACAAGTTGTTTTGATCCACGTTCACTAATTTAAAGGCATTAAAAAAAGTAAACTATAATATAAAAAATTATAAATGATATACAGAAATAAGATTATATTTACCTTCTTTAAATAGTAATTCTCAATTTATAATGATTAAATTATGGAAAGAAATTATAAAGATTAAATTATGGAAGGAAATAAAAAATATTAAAGTTTTCTACAAACTTTTTAAAATTTTTATAAGAAGAAAAAGAGAAAATTTTAAGATATAATATAATTCTATTTATTAATTTGTTGTCTAAAGTTAGGCGGTAAAAAATAAGAAAAAGGAGATTTCGATTTTATGTTTAATTTAGATTATAAAATTTATAATATAATGATTGAATTCTTTAAAATTATTGAACAAAAAAAGAAAATCCGAAAATAAAATATAATTTTATTTATTTTTTTTGTTGTCTAAAATTAGGCGGGAAAAGGGTTATTAAAGATTTAACATAATTTTGGTTATTCTTTCTTATCGTATTTATCAGGGGGGGGGGGATATTGTTTTTTAAACTTTAATAATTTTATTTTCAATTAGTATATTTATAATTTTCCCATAATATAAATAAATATGTGTTAATTTGTTTTTTTATTATTTTATAATAGAAAAAATTGGTCTAAACATCGGGCCGATTTGGATCTATTTTTAAAAACGGCATTAAGATTTTAGTCAAAATCATTAGCATCTCTAGGATTTTCCTATGGGGTAGGGGTATTTTTCTTCATTCTCATAAGGATAGTGGCAAAACTAATCTAATAAATGTATATAATATGTAGGAAAAAACATTATTAAAATTTTATTTTTAAATTGTTTTATTAAAAAAATCTGGAAAAAATTCTATGTACTAACTATATTATATTTTAAAAAAAAGGTCATAACATAGAGGAGATGTGGCATAAATGGTGTTTGAAGACTGACAACAACCCTTTACCTTTTTATCTATTGGATTAATTTGTCATTGGTCAAAATGTGTATATTTAATGGTATGATTAATATTCACCGAACCTCAGAAGCATTATAAGTAAGAAGGAAATTCAAAGATCAAGGAACCTCATCTCCAATAAACTACAAACTTTATAAATAAAATAGTTCTAATTTAATAAAAAATTTATAACTAATGCCTAATCTGACTTTCATAGAATATATCCTACCTACCTTTACCATTTTTTTCTTCAATTTGTATTTGTTCATATTTTTTCATACTCATCCTTATTTAACTTTTGTATTTCTAATTCTTCTGTTCTACAAAATGGAAGTTTGTATGAACAATATTTAAAAAATTCTAGATATTTATTAATAATTAAAATATTATAAAAATACTTTTTTATTTCTCTCTTTAATTAAAAAATTTTCCATTTTATTATTTTTCTTTGATTAATGTTAATATACTAACAAGGAACGGAAATTTTAATAAAATTTATTTATGTTGGAAAATTGATATTCAAATATTTGCAAAATTTTGACTGGGAGAGGGGGGGGTGTAAATTATTATATCTTAAAATGATATTTATGAAAACAGTCAAATTTGCTAGGGGGGAGGGGATTTCCTCCTTTCCCTCCATTGGTTACGCGCCTGGCCTAAAATAATACGTAAGATCGAGATAGAGGTTCAAACCTTTCTTACATCTATGCGCAAAATCTCCAGATTTACATAATATTGGCTATTAATCAACATAATTATAATGTGGTAAATTTCCCACCAAAGAAATCGGTATAAATATTGGTTAATTTTTTTTGATATTTTTGAATTTTTTATTTATATAGCACATTTAGTAAATAAAATTGAGATTTTTGTAAAAAAAATATGAAGAAATAATTATTAGGACCAACATTCAAAATAATTTCTATTTATCATCCTTTTTTTTAATACTAATAAATTTATAATAAATTCCAAATGTATTAGCGCGCCAAATTTAAGCTATCCCGAATTGTCGCCGCACTGAATTTACGCTGTGTCGAATTGCCGTCACGCTGAATTTACGCTGTGCCGAATTTTCCGTACCGAATTGACATGGATCCTAAATTTATGCCGATAACATATTTTCTATCTGAGATAAACGTTTCTATTTGCAACTGTTACAAAAATTGGCTATTTAGCCTGCCTATATAATGATAGATTGTGATGTAATTCATTTTACTAGTAATAAATGATGCACTTTTGGTTAATCCAAATGATAAACATGAAAATAATTCTTCTCTAAGAAATAGCAAAACATATTTATGAAAAAAACTTTCTTAAATTTCAATTATTTTTAAAACATTTTTGAAATTAATTTTTTTTATTAATAATTTATCCGTTTGGTATATTTTTTTTAAAAGGATTTTTTTCAAACATTAAAAATAATCTCATGTCAATTCCATTATTTCAAATTTGAAAAATAATTTTTAATAATATCAATTTTATAACAAAATTATTCAATTATTAACGTCATTTTATAGATAAATAAATATATTATTTCAAACTTCATAATGTTGCTAAAATAGTTTATGGACAATGCAATTTAGTTATCACTAAAAATTTTTACCAGAAAATACATTAATAATTATGATATATATGACATTACAAATAAATTCATTGACCATTATATAATTTCAGGACTCAAGATTTATTATTATGGTACCATTTCATTACCGATAATCATTCAATTTATTAGTCCCTTTAAAATTGTTACATGAGCATAAACAAAAATACGAAATCTTTATTATTATGTTTGGGAAATTGTTTAAAACAAAGAATACTTCCCTTTAACCAACTCATTAGTTGAAAAAGACTGATTAATTTTTATAACATTAAATATTTTAAAGATGGAATCAGGAAACGAGTTTTATAACATTAGAATATATTATAATTATAAAGTTTTCCTTATAGCATAAAAATTAATAATTATACTCAGTAAATAATGAACAAGATAGTAATAAAGCATTAATACTTAGCAAGGGTTAAACAAAATGATGTTTTTCTCTTTAGTCTTTAGATATATTACAATTATCTGTTCTATAATTTGTATTATGCCCGATTTTCCAAGCCTTAGAAAAAAGTACTTAGAAAAATTGGACAAAATACCTAGTGATTATCTAGAGAATTTTTATTCAGCCACACACACTGGTCTTCTGAAATTTTATGTTTATTTATATAAACAATAAGTATTATAATTAAAATTAAAATTATGATAATAAATGTTCAAATAACAAAGTTCATAGATTTTTTGACAAATGTGAGAACCTCTCCCCCCCTCCATATATTTTATGACTATGGCAATAAAGTTGAAAAATCTAAATATTTATTTTTAGAATATTTAAATTATAATATTTTCTTAAATTTAAGCGTAAAATAAAATATAATACATAATTTAGATTTAAAATAACTCCCTTTTTATGCTGATATATATAAAATATCAATAAAAATTTTAAATAACCTTAATGATAAAATTTTCAATTATTAATTAAAATTGAACCATTTAATTCTTTATATAAATTTTTAGACGAATACTGGATTTAAAATTTATAAGTAGAGGATATAATTATAAAAATAATCTCATCTATAAATTGAATAAGAATTTCATAATCATTCATGTTTATATATTACAAGTAATATGCGTAATAGGACAATACATATTTATAATATCTTAGAAAATTGTCCGAAAAATATAGAATAAATTTAAGTGGAAATAATCATTTGTTGATAAATAAATTTCAAATTAGTTATAAAAATCAAAAATAAATATAATTTATTTAAAAATATCCGGGCCGGGCCTGAAAATTTTATTTTAAAAAAAGCCGGGCTAAGCCTGAAAATTTCTTTTAAAAAAAACCCAGGCCGGGCCGAAAAAATTTTGAAAAAAAATCTGGGCTGTGCCCTGCAAATGGTACCTCTGCAGGGCTCTGTTATTCTTCTTAAAAAAGAGAATGTTCTCTCATTAGTTTACTAATGGGAAGAGTTGCTAATATATATAATCATTTTAATACATTTGGGAATATAATCTAAAATGTGTTTGAAATTATACAATTCATAGCATTTTTTGGGATATCTTAGTTAATCTTTTAAACATAGAATGTTATTTTTTCCTATCACCATCTGAAAAAGATTGGGAAGGCTTTTGTGGAAGTAATATCTGCAGATTGGTAAGTGCTGCATGATGAATTAAAAACAATTCATTTATTTGGATTATAGTTTTATTATACTTTTCTACTGATCTTATACTAATGTTTTGACAATGAGCTTGCCTTGCTGCAAGTCGAGGGAGACAAATGTTAAACACGTATAGCTTTCCTTTTGACTCAACAATAACATATAAAATTGAAATTCTTCATCAACAGTAGCCCTAATTTCCTTGAGTTCTAATAAAATTCTCTCCGCTATTCTCAACTTCTTAATCAAGTCAATGCCATGTTTTCGAAAAGTATTACATATAGTTGTATAATTAAATAATACATTCTAATGAGAAAAAAAAATTGAAATAAGCATTGAATCCAATAATTTTCTTGCTTCTGAGGAAATATTTCTTTCAAGCCATTGTGATATTTCAGTAATGGCATTAATAATCGGCTCTTTTAAATCCATAAATGCTGTTACTGCTTGATGACTCCATCTCGTTGGACAAGCTTGCCCTTTCTTTCTCCCTTTTGGAACAGGAGTTTCAGAAAAATTATTATTTGAAAATGGTAGATAAATATTACGCACATTTGAAAATAATAGGTAAATATTAGGCCAATGAAAACTTGAAATCGAAATTAATTGAAAAAATAACTTAATAGATGAATGCGATAATGAGATAGGAATAAATATTAACAAATATAAATTAATATAAACATTAATATTTTTGAGAAATATATCCGGCATCTGCATTTTTTGGCTTTGGGGGGATTCTCCCCCCCCCCCCACCGCCACATACGCTCCTGGATTATATTCGTAATGCCCGTCCTCCTCTCTTTATCTCTTGACGTTACTAAGATTTTAAATCAAGAAAACGGTGAGTTAATTGAGGAAATTAAGACCAGAAAAGTCTTTAATATTTGGGGGAAGGTTAAATAATGAAAAATCTTGCTGGGTAATTTTTCTCCGCAAATTGATTGTTATTAGGTTTGGGATGAGAAGTCAAAATAAATCTTGGCCTTTTCTGAAACAAGTTTATACAATTAGCTTTAGGCGAACTTAGGTTAGGTTATTTGAGGTTTTGCCTTTAAAGATAAATCAGTTATATTATTTGGTTAATTTTTTAATAAATATTTATTTATTCATCTGTATACAAAAGGGTATATATCTAGTAATACAAAAAATTTGTAAGTACTATAAGAAGAATTGCGTGTTAAATTTAAATGTTAAATATTTTGATATGTTTGAATTGTCGTTTTAAAATATTAAGCGTGATTATGGAGTAAATTTTCTTTAAGAGGTTTAAAAGGCGTTTGCATGTGCACATATTAAACTTTCATGATTCTTCTCCCCTCTAGAGATGCCATATTTTTTAAAGGTTTGCAGATATAATTTGATTAATATATTCAAATTATCTTTTATTTACAAGCCGTTTCAACACATCATGGGGCACATGAGTCCATTCCAATATCCAAAACTAATTAAATCTAAGGTTTCAAATTTAACTCTATAATAGATAATTACGATATATACACTTCTCGATAAAATAATATATGCTTTAATATGTTAATTTTTATAAAATATTTTATCACAATTTTTTTTATTACATCATAAAATTTCGATTTTTAGTGTTCCCCGTTATTTTTATTAATACAAAAATATGTTATTGTGATATAATTTCCTTACATGATTTTATTTTGTGGTTTTATGTACCACTTTACTTAATCCAATGCACCTTTGTTTTTTTAAACTGAAAGTCAAAATAAATCAAAAAATTTAGTTTTCTATAAAAATTATCTGCTACCTTTAAGGTAACTGCCAATATTTTTTGTTAATATTTTTATAAACAAAATTCAGTCCTCGGTGTAATTTATATCCTAGTTATTAGAATTAGTGTGATTTTAAATAAGCATATTTCGAAACCAGTACTCTGTGCCCCGGTTCCCTAATTTTTATTTAAGTTATTAGGATTAGTGGATGTTGAGTAAGCATAGTGTTTATATTCACACCACATTTAATAAATTATAATAAGAGAGACTAACACTGATGTCGAGGGGGATAAGA